CAATAAGCGTGATATTTCTTACGGAAGAGTCAGCAGCATCCGTGTGGCAAGCATAACCTGCAGTGTCATCCTTTAAACAGAACGTATTCACGTATTTATCAACCTCGAAAGGAGAGTGTTCTGAGTGAGGTTAAAACCCGGAACTTTTCGGTTCTGAATCCGATGCTCTACCGACTGAGAAACTCGAATCTACTTAATGATGAACTGCATCAGTGACATCTGCATACACAACTCTGCTTCGATGAAAGAGAAATCTTTGGGACTATGATTAGTTGTGATCAGGCGGCTTAGATAATCGGCCCTCTGACGACAGCTAAAACCTACATGCAGATTCAGCGAGGGGATCATCCCCACTTGAAAAACTGAAAGAATGTTAAAAGCGATCCCCACTGAACTATAGGATGCGAAGTTCCAATTAAAGCAGCATTTGCAAGTAGCAGCAGGATCACAGTATTACGACAACTAATGGGGAAAACAAATAAATGCATATTCTCGTTCATTAGACAAATGACACACTGGCGATATTATGGATTCAATATTTTTTGTCGGTGTCGGTATTTCTGCCACGATTTTCTTTTTCTTAACATTATCAGTTAAATCAAGTCTTTCGACATTACTCTATATATCTAGGTTATTCAACGGCCACAGCTGCTGCACACTGCTAGCGTGATGAAGATACGAGGGCATTTTTTAATTTATTGTTAACAATTTGATTGTAGTGAGCTATAGCGTTGATGAAGGTGAATCGCAATGGCAGATGCACCAGATAGACAGCGCGTTGTCATCAGAGTCGTAAGATCTGACACAATCATACCAGAATAACATGTGGTCCAAGCAAAGACTTCCTGTTTATCGCCTGGTTGCACTGAACCATAATGACATGACTCGCTTGATTGAATCAGTACCCAATATGACAAAGTTTCGCTGTGCAAACAATCTGAACTCAGCACCTCTCAATTGCAAAGATAACTATTTATCCTCTACGTCAATGCCCCCTACGCACTCCCACCCAAAATATAACGCTTCGCTCTCGCTGTTGCGATGACCAACGTGGAGGATAGCCGTTCCTACATGCAACGCGTTCGTTAATTAAAACCTAAAGGTAAAGCACCTACTTTATTATCTCGCAATATTCTTTTCTTATCCTTTATATATGACTCGTTTACGTTGCTCATCCTCTACCGCAATGTAGGAGTGAGTCAGCTTTTGTTCCGTAGCAAACATGCTAATGCATTAGGCGGCAACTTGCGTACCTTCATATCCACTAATTCAACCAACAGAAGTAGCAAAAAGTGCAACATAAAATGTTAACTCAACATTCTTTAACATTAACAGAATCAAGCGAAGCAATCCTAGAAGCTTTGATAAAAGGGAGCACAGCGTTATAATAAACAGTGTTACTAAGTTTGATAAAAAAAAATCTTTGCTGATTCTGACTATTCTCTGCACAGAGATTTCGAGCAGAATATGAAGAGTCGTTTCAAGCTAATGCAGTTTAGAACGGAAATCATTCGCAAATCCTTAACAGCCTATATGAATCAATGCGTAAGCAACTACCTTTTCTAGTTTCATGCCTTTTCCAGTTAATTTAATTTCCATCTCAGTTAATTTCTTTCTTCACGTTCACTTTTTTGAACTATAAGAGACCCGAATGGACGAGATGAGTCACTGTGAATTTTCAGATATCGAAGAAAAGCTTAAAAGCGTAAGGACAGCTCTAAGGGGCTGAAATCTCATCTTTTGGTTCGATACAAATTAATAAGCATATGCCAGTTCACGGTCTTAACTTATTTTACAACCACCCCTCTTCCCAAAATGTAATGGTTCGGGCACGGCACTTCACGCAGCAAGGCACTGTTAAACAGGCATTAAAAAAGGTTAGAGGCACATGAAAATCATACCTGAACTAAAACGATATTCAGCTTGTTCAAATACAATCTATCATTGTCATCCAAACTTCGAGGCTGAGACGACAAGTCGATCACCAAACTGACAACATAGTTTTTAATTCCTAAAAATCGAAATCAAAAACGGTAAGTACAGCAAATAGAAATTGTCTCAGCAGAATAGAATGCACTCCCAAAGGGTGTACCAATTAAAATTAAAAACTGCAAATGTTGTCCAAGCCAACAATTATGGAGATTTGATGCAGAACAAAAAATACACTGTCCAAAGCACTTTCGGAACCGCCCTGTTAAATTTTTAAAAATTTTGAAACTGCGTCAAACAGCAAGGGAACGTATGGAGCTCGTCACCAAACCAATTTATTTTTGCAAAAGGTTGGAAAAGGAATGTCTCGTCAAAAAAGTTAATTCCGAGTATAGCAACATCGGAGAGACTCGGATGTTGCTAACAGCAGACTAACTATAGATTGTTTCTTCTCTGCCACTACCTTTACAGTTCAGCTAGGAAGGCAGCGACGATCAAATTTAGCCATGAACAGTAAGGGAGTCGTAGGCGTGTCTGCCAGCTGGTAGCTTACACATGTGACGAATCGTGCGACGGCGGAGTGCCGGTTTAACGAAGACCCATTTCCAACGAAATCGTGACGTTTTTCCTTGAACGCTAGACTATAACTACCGTTATCGAACATAATTCTTAATTAACTGCTTAAAGTGACATCAACACAGTGCTAAGAAAAACTGATTGTAAAGAGACGGATCTTCTGATTCCAAAAGGGACGACAAAAATTACTTCTAAATACCAAGGGATTTCGACCAAGGGCATCGTTTATCGAGGAACAAAAAACTCAGTAAACAAGATAGTAAGGTAAGGTTATACTTCGCCTAACTGGCTGAAAGTTTGGTGCGCTATCAAAGAGAAAGTTTTATTTTCATGATCCGAAATGACTGAAGAGCCAGCGCAAATTTTAGTAGTTACATTGTAATCAGCTATGGTGTGAAGTGAATCCCTAATTCATTTAGTCAATGCACTAATCCATCAGCGTATTTCCTTGTTCCCGTCGTAACAATTTTCCACGGCAAAGGCAACAGTACCAGATGACGAAAGCTACCGCACCTCCTGACCCTCTTGTGTTCGAACATTTCGATTTAGCAATGTCTGTTTTGCTTATGCAAATGCGATCTGATATATTACGCTGCTGCTGTCCATGGTAAAGCGAAGGTCGAATTTCCCACATATGGCGACTATGTCAACAAAAAACCCATCTGGAAAAGGAAAGGAACGATGTTAACAGGTTTCTACAGTTTCGCTTCAAAATGGTCAGGAATAAACATGATGCGATGTTTCTGGCAACCTGATAAGCTGCATACACCCTCCAGAAAACACACTTTACACTTTCAGCTGTTTGAACATATGCCTGAACATC